CATTGCATGAGAAGGTAAAGCACCGTAGTAATGGGCACTCTTTTTTATCCAGAACTCATGATTTTTCCACATTTTGATAGTTACAAACATGCTTGATTAAGGAACCTTACGAGAGATCTTCTTACCTCTACCATGATTTGTCTTGTATCTAGAAGCCTTACAATTTGGACATTTATCCAATGTTGACTTTGGAACCAAATTATCCTTCGGTAAAAGTTTTGTTAAAAACTCTAGCATCATGTCAACTGACTTATTACTCCAATGGTTTGTTACCTTCATATTAAGTAGACAAAGCTCAAAGATATCATATATACTAATCAGGTCTCCACATTTCAATTTTTTTGTCACTAATTTTCTTTGGCATGTATACAGATTTTGGATGCAAAGCTAAGGGTCATAAGCGGCGCAAAGGGAGCTAGTAAAAGTAATTCAAAACATAATTACCAAATAATGTATATAGCGTAACTTTAAACTTAATCTCACCTATTTTTTCAGCAAAATTAAGATTTATTGATGTAATAGAAAAGGTTATAAAAGTACACCGCAAATACAAAATGAACTTAAAGCTGTTTTGGGAATAAATTAATTCCCTTTGTCATCTTAATGACAAACCTCAACCATGTCTTCAATTCCTATCTCCTATCTCTTATCCTCACGTACAAAATAATGGGTTTGTTTTGTTCTAATAACTAAATTAATTGAAATGGGAAGGAAACTGGTATGCTTGATTGAAATGTTTGATCCATTTCAATCAAACACTTCACCAACCAGACTCCAAACAGGAACACACCGACAAAAACTAAGAACAACAACCAACACACAGCATCAGTAACATATAGGGACAACAGACACACATAGATCAGAAACAGATCAGCCAAGAATCTGCAACAGAGCAGACAAAAAACCACAACCAGAGCAGACAAAAACCAGCAACATAGCAGACAAAAACCAGCGACAGAGCACCCAGAAACTAACAACAGATCAGTAACACACAGGAACAGATCAGCAACTTATTTGATGCATATTCCAATATACAAAGATTCATGATTAGGAAGATCTAACTCCCAAACAAGCATTGACACTAGATAATGTTTATGATGATGTTTACGGACTTGATATGGGATCACCTTCAAGCCAAGGCCCCAAGCTAGACCTCTTGTCCAAAAAACATTTAGAAAAAAAATTGGGATTGTGTTCTTTCTGGATAGGTGATTCTACTCTTCAATGTTCTTAAAGATTGAAGAGTTGCTGCCTTGAGTCAATGCTTAAGGCTCCAACCAGGTCAAAACTATGGGTACTCTACTCTCACATATGGAGAAAGGCATATGTATGAATTAGAATATGACAGACTTCCACATTTCATTCTATCAGACCAACTCAGTGAGATCCTAGCCACTAGGAGGAATTCCACCAGAAGTACAACATAAGATTATCTAGGGGGTAATACTTAAGGTGAATTGGTATACCCTTGGAGGAATTCCACCAAAAGCATCTGAAGTTTACAAAATACCCAGGGCCAATAAAAATCAACATTGGTTTGCCCAATTTGCAACAAAATTTCAATAACATTTGACCCCTTCATGTACTTAACTTTGCCGCTACCTTCTACTACCACTCGGACAATGACAGTAACCGTATTTTATGGTAATAGGAGTGGTCTTCCAACGCAATACACTGTTACTCTCCTAAAACATGGCTGCTGTAAAGATCTCAGTCAGGCTCTGAGTACTACATGCTGCTTAAGGAGCGATGAAAGCATGTTGCTTGTAGAGGTAATTTATATCTTCTTGACTTCTATTATATATTTACTAATCTGTTGCTAATTCTTTATGTATTAGTCTTCTGATGCCCTGGATTTTTAATATGCAGGTTTACGAACATCGAACATATCGATATTTAGAGAACCCTTCGGAACCATTACCTTCTATAAAAGATGATGAACATATTGTAGCCTACGGGCTTCCAAAGCGGGCAGAATTAACAAGAGTAGAGATATGTCATCGATACTTGGAAAAGTGAGTTCTCATTCTTGAATCCTTAGTTGTTACGTTCCCACTTGGCTAAGATTCAAAAATCTTGAATCTTACCATGCCTTGTGTGTTTGGTCTTTATTGGGTAGAGTTGACATGTCTGAATGAGTCTATGGTTTTTATTTCCTTGTTAGGGATGCCAAATTGCCTAGTTGCATAGATGCTCTGATTGATCTTTTTAGTTTTTTGGTCTGAAGGCAATGAACTATATTATAGGAATAACCCTTGAACAAAAAGCCAAAAAGGAAGGAAAAGTAATAAAAAAAGTGAATGAAGGTGGGATGTAACCCAAGTCTGAAGTCCGGTTGCTGTGTACTAGGATAGATGACACCTTTGTTTTAAGTAAACATTTATTAGGTTTAAGACTTTTTCCTTGTAACTAAAGCATCATTGCTTTCCAGATGTTTGTCAGATAATTTCAAGGGCAGTGAGAGGAAACTTTTGTTGACACCACTGGTTACTTATCTGGAGGACACACAAACTAGAGCTGACATCGATCTTGTTATTAGTAGAGTGTTGTCCCCATTGAGAAAGAAAACTTTTTTTAGTTCAACTATTGTTCATAGTGGCAACGAAAATGGCTCTGCTGTGGAACCTATTGATGAATCAGCAAACATCTACGCTACCCATTATGGACCTGGAAACCAGTCAATGGACAGCTTAGAACTGGAAGAAATGTCCTACAGGGAGTTGAGCTTTCAGCTCTGCATAACAGATAACAGAGGTTTGAACTGCAGGCCTATTTCAAAGGATTCACTCATAAAAACTGGTCAACTGGTTAAAGTTATGTTGGATTGGACTGATAAAGAACACAAATTATATGATTCCAGCTACTTAAAGGATGTTCCTGAGGTTCACAAGACCAAGCTTACTATGAAGAAAACTCGACAAGAAGCTATCTCTTTATTTTCATGCTTGGATGCATTTTTAAATGAGGAACCTTTAGGGCCTGATGACATGTGGTAGAACACTTTTAATTCTTTTGACCAGCTGAATTGCATATTTTCAGAGCAATTCACCTCAAGTATTACTGCCTCATTTTTTGTTGTTTCAAAATTTCAATGTAGGTACTGCCCTCGTAAAATTTGTGGGTAGGGAGGATGCATCAACATTTTAAACTAGAAAAATTCAGCCTTCCCATTGGAAACATATTCTGTCTATACAAAAACCACACACTACAAAAACAAATTACAATAGGAAAATTTCCTACATTTATGCTAATTAAAACCATGCTTATAAGTTATATCAATATAAACGTGACAAAGCTGCTTCTGAAATGGGTATTGAATCCCGTATAGATTATCAATTTCTTCAACATCATTACATTTCAAGTTCTAAACAGTGGAAATAAGTTGGAGAGGAAGCGATAGAGAGATTGAGGATGTTAATGATCAAAGGCTATGGTATATAAAGATTCAAGATGAACACTTGTCACATCTTTATGTAGACAGCTGGGGAAAAAAAATGGCAATTTTAATGTAAGAAGTAAACAAAATAAGCCTATCAAGTACATGGCAACAATGTTTTATTGATCATGAAGTATTTGGAGTATTTGGAAATGCCAACAATAACTTGAGGCTTCTGATCTCATTTACAACAATTGAAAAAATAAGACTGTCAACACAGCAACCGACTGCCTTCCATTGGTTCTATCATACAACCACCTCAAACAAGACTCTTCGTAACGAATAAAATAAACCATAGTGCAAATTAAGTATGATTAATATTGCAATAAAATTAGTACAAAAGCTAACAACATTCGAACTTACTCATATCCAGGATAAGATAAAAGCAATATTAAGAGGGTGAAATAGTATAGAAACGATATCTGTAAAGACACAAAATTAAATAGTAACTGAACAACCAAACATAGCAAGCTTGTGAAAATCAAACATGTGAATTTTAAAAACAAAAGTTCAACAAAAGTAATTTTCTCAGGGGAAAAAATTAACACAATCAACCATAAAAATACTAATTTTAAGTAATAGAATCATTGTTAAGCTTTAAGAGAATCAAAACGTGTTACAATTTAAAGATCACGTACATGCGGACAGGCCTCTAAGGACTATGATCAAGATAAAGACAAAATAACTAAACCAACTTGATATTTTGGCATCATCACCATAAAGAAAAGCTTTCGAATTTTTCAGTTGCAACTAGTATTTGGGACACTACTTGATTCAAATGGTTCTTACAAAGACCGAATATATCTAATTAAATTTCAAATTCGACAGTCCATCTTTCAAAATTAAGGAAAAATAATTATTGCACAAATTTCAGTCCCTAGACCTCCCATTCTAGAAAATAGATCTGTTTTAATCTTTTCTCTGTTCATCCTCACATACAGCTTTCCAATTAAGCTCCATTCTAGAAAACGTAATATGCAATGGGTATAGAACTATATCAGCAATTTGAAGAAAAAAAAATACACAATCTGAAAAAAAAAATAAAAAATAAAGAGAAGATGCCCACAGCCAACTAAAACAAAGGCAAGAAATAATTGCAGTAGCAGAGCATCAGGCATGTACAAGGATCCTCAAATAGCCAGGCATGGTATCCAAGAAGAATCAGGAGGATGATCACAGAAGCAAAGGAATCGATCGATATCAGTAAGTAATCAATTTTATTTTTTTATGAATAACCTAAGTAGAAAAACCTATAAAATAAACAGATATTAAACAAACATTCAAATATAGAGAGGAGTTGAACCCTAATTTTATTAAAAATACAGACAAACAATCCAAATCATATGAAATATTCACATTTAGTAAAGGGCTTTTACTAAATTCAAACTCTTAATTATAATCAATAGGGCATTCATTCTCAAGTTTATAGCAGAAAACTTGATGGAAAGATTAAAATACAGCATTAATTCTGAAAATTAATTTCAAAAATTAGGGAAAACAGAGATAGAGAAATAGAGAAATTGAGTGAGAGAGAGAGGGAGAGAGAGAGAAAGAGGACCCATACCTGATGGAAGAGAACACACAGCAGTAGTAAAGGAGATACGACATCTGTGGCGACACTGAAGGAGGAAAACAGGGACGGCGCTGGAGAAGAATACACTGAAGGGGCGCTGGAGAAGAACACACAGCACTTGTGTTTTGAGAGGGAGAGGGAGAGGGAGAGGGGGAGAGACAGAGATTGATAGGAAAACTATTCGTCAGTTTGTTTCGAGAGGGAGAGACAGAGATAGAGGCCCATGCGAAGACTGATAAAAAAATAATAAAAAAAAAGGAGGGAAAAATAAAACTGATCAAAAAAAAAGAGGGAAAAAAAAATCTAGGCAAAAAAAAAAAGAAAAAATAATATATTTTTTTTTATTACCGCTTAATATGTCAAAATTCTTCTTTCAAAATTGGTGGCAAAATAATTCTCACTAAAAGGCCTAAAAATATTAAAATATTACCGCTTAATATGTCAAAATTCTTCTTTCAAAAAAATTGGTGGCAAAATAATTCTCACTAAAAGGCTTAAAAATATTTAAAATTATTAGTGACGAAAATATATTTCTCACCAAATGTTCTTAAAATATTCAAAATAAAGTTTTTCAAAAACAAAAAAAAAAATTAGATTATTGGTGACACAAATATATTCCTCATTAATAATATTTTTATTATTGAAAAAAAAATTCTCACCAAAACTTTCAAAATTTTGGCACCATAAAAAAAAATTAGTGGGAAAAATTTAGGTGACGAAACTTATTTTTTTCTCACCTAAAAGTAAATATTTATCGACGAAAATAAATTTCATCACCTATTATTTTTCTTTTTTTATTATACGTGACAATTTATAATTCCTCATGGATTATTCTTATTTAGTGACGAAATTTGTTTTCTTCACTAATTTTTGTCACCACACCAAAACAGAGAATAAGAGAAAAAGACACCAGAAAAGAGCAAAGAGAAATCATGTACCAAATCATCAAGCAAAGAAGATGTGGCGGTTACCGGCAAGGCTGCTATTGGTGGTGACGATCGACAAGACTAATAAAGGCGACGATGGCGATCGGCATGGTGGAGGAGCAAGAGGTAAGACAAATTAATACCCTATTTTGAGAGAGAGAGATGATAAATAGAAAAAAGGATAAAAAAATTAATACCTTTTTTTTTATTGTCGCTCAATATATCAAAAATTTTCCACCAAAATTTGTGACAATATTATTTCCTCATCAAAAGATATCAGAAATATTAAAACGTTTTGATGACGAAAATATATTCATCACAAATAATTTTGTAATTAGTGACAAATTTTTTTGTCACCAAAAGTCCCAAAATTTTGGCGCCACCCAAAAAAAATAACGGGAAAATTTTAAGTGACGAAACTTAAGTTTTCCTCACTTAAAACGAAGTATTTATTGACGAAAATATATTTTGTCACTTATCATTTTTATTTTTTTATTATATGTGACAAAATTTATAAATTCCTCACGAATTATTTTCATTTAGTGACGAATTTTATTTTCTTCACTAGTTTTCGTCACCATAGGTTACTTTTGTTGTAGTGGTGGCAGGCAAGATGTGGAGATTTGATATGATGGTTAGATGTGATGGTTGCGAGAATTGCGTGGTGTCGGCAAGATTATGTGAGAATGTTCGAGGGAATGTGAGATTTGTATCTCGAGTTAGTGGGAATGGTACCTGCATGCTGGTTCGTGTTTTGGGTCTTACTAGTCAGTGAGTCCGTGGTGACCCCATCGGTTGTATAGGGGTAGTGTTCGTATTGTGATTGGTTATCAATTGTTGGGTTTGGATTGTGAGTGGATGCTGGCAGCATTCTAAAGTAATGAGTATAGCATTGATCAAAGTGGTCCTTCGTGTTCGGGTTGTTGTAATTGAGGTTGACCATGTCGGTCTTGGGTCAAGGAAGTGAGCAGGCTTGCTAGATAGCCATGGCGGGGGATGGTGATTCCCTTAGACGCAGTGTTGATGCGGTTCATTTTTAGGAGATCCGGTGAGATTCCAAAATTTGTGGTTTGTGTAGAGAACTCCGCGATTGGGGTCAGTGGCTAGAGTGGCACATCAGTGTGTGGATTACTGAGTGTAGAGTTTATTGAGTTGATTAGTCAGCTTGTCGGTAACGGGATTTGAGTTGGCATTGGTCACCTTGAGTTTAGTCTCGTTCGTTGTAGACTTTGTATGTTGATTAGGGAAAACTGAAACTAATCGAACATTTATGGTTGAATCTGACGGTTGGAATAATACATCTAATATATGTATTGATTGATCATTGTGAATGATTGGCTTTTTATACATTATGTATGTATGATGTTTGGTTTGATATTGATACAGCACTATAATGCGTATCATTTGTGTATTTCTGAGTCATGTTTATGATTATAAAGTGGTTAAGTAAAGGGAGGTGAGATAAAATTGCAAAACCATGAATTTCTTATACCTTATGTGTTGATAGTACTGTTGCTATTTCTATTAACTATCATTATAGAAATGTTGTGTTCTATGTCGGTTGTAGCATCACTGTGTGAGTGATGGTTGTGGATAGTGTTGTTTTGGAAAGAAATGGAAAACAAAATTTTTCCCAGTGTTTGGGCCATCTGAGGACGTTGTTGAAAAGTTGATTTAAATTCAAAGATGTTAAAGAATTCTAGATTTATCTTTTTGGCAAATAAACTGTGGATAACTCTGCGCTTTGGATAACACCGTGTTTGTGAAAAATATTTACAAAACTTTTGGGTTTTCGTATGGAAAATGCAAGATTTATTCTGGAACGTTAACGTTGAAAATTTAAACATCTTTGAGAAATGCCTCTTGAACAAGAAAATGTTTTCTAATTATCTACTCTAAAGATTTGCTTCGGTGGTGTTGTTGAGTGGTGACTTAGCTTGAAGCACTAGTCGGTTGTTGGTGAATTGTTTCGGGGGAGGTTTGGTTTGTTGAGGCTTGCGTGCCTAAGGCGTTGTCGTTTAGAACGTGTCCCCCTGGTTAGTCTCTTCCTTGGTAAGAGTGAGTCGGAGGTTTGTTATGAAAATAATTTCTTTCCTTGGGGCTCGAATGTTGAATGCTTTGTGATCTGTTAACCCTGTGTTTTGGCGTATCCTTAATTTCAGGGACGAAATTCTTTAAGGGGAGGAGATTATAGCGATCCCGGTTTTCCTTTTTGTGTTTAACTGTAATCCGGACTCGGTTCCGTAAGGGTGCTGTTGTCTTATCCTCTTTCTATCCCTTACTCTTTGTGTTCGAGTTTTGGGTTGTGTTGGGCAAGTTGGGAATAAGTTGGTTGTGTTTTAAAACGTAAAATCCTTGCCCAGTTTTTGGTCTTTCCACTCGAGCGGCGCTTCTGACGCTCGAGCGGGCCTTGTTGTTGTTTATCCGCTCGAGCGGGGGTGTTGGCGCTCGAGCAGGGAAATCACCCATCCAGTATTTCGTCTGCAGTGGTAGACGCTCGAGCAGGGAATTGGCCGCTCGAGCGGGAGTTTGTGTCTGACGCTCGAGCGGAGAGTTTTACGCTCGAGCGGGGACCATGTCTGTAAAAGTTTGGGAGTGTGCATCCGCCGCTCGAGCGGGAGTTTGGACGCTCGAGCGGGAGTCTGTGAGTGACGCTCGAGCGGGGCGACTTTTATATAAAGCCGAGATCTGACTTTTTTGTTCACTTTTCAACATCCTTTCTCTCTCGTACTTTTCCAGAAAGCTATTTTGAGAGTTCCTCTCACTAAAACCCTAACTTCTCTCTTAGGATTGATTTAGTAGGAGTTGTTTTCTCACCTCCAACCTTCACAAAAGTTGTGTTGATCTTCGAGGGCTATCTTTTAATCTGAAAATTTCGGGATTTGGAGCATTTCCGTTTCTTCATCTTCTTTGTTGCGTCCCTTCATTCGAGGTAGGGATAACCTACTCCATCTTATGAACTTTGTGTTTAAATTTTAGCATTTTGATATGTTGGGGGGGTTATTGTGAAATTTTGAGAAAGTTTGGGCCTTTGTGTAATTTTACAAAAGTTGGGGTTTTAAATATATAAACCTATATGCATGTTAGGCATAGAGAAATGAGATTAATGTTGGGACATTGATGGAAATGGAACCTTAGGGTTGTTTTGTGAATTATGGTAATTTGCCCTAATTGGTTTAATTAATTAATGCATATAATTAATTGAAGAAAGCGAGGAATTGAATTGAGAATGTTGAAATTGGGAATGTATGGGATTAAAGAGTGTAGACAAATCATTTGTTGCTCACCTAATTGGAATGTTGATATATTATCCATTTGTGCATTTATTTCCTGTTTAGAAATAATTGCTTTGGGCTACCGGTGGAGGGTAGTGTTGATTGTTGTAGACAATGCATGTTGATTAGGCAAACTAAAACTAATCAATTGGTTGTGTCATAGAGTATGACGGTTGATAGAATACATTAACTTTATGTATTGAGTGATTGTGTATATGACCAATGTATTTATATGCATTATGTGTAGACGGTTGATAGAATACATTAACTTTATGTATTGAGTGATTGTGTATATGACCAATGTGTTTATATGCATTATGTGTAGACGGTTGATAGAATACATTAACTTTATGTATTGAGTGATTGTGTATATGACCAATGTGTTTATATGCATTATGTGTAGACGGTTGATAGAATACATTAACTTTATGTATTGAGTGATTGTATATAGAACCAATGTGTTTGTATACGCTATGTGTAGAGGAGGAGATGGGGGATGTACTCCACGGTTTAGGGGAAGATGGGGGATGTACCTCTAAACCGGATAGGATTGGAAGGAGATGGGGGATGAACTCCGTAGACACAGCTCATATGCTTGTCTAGAAAAGTGAAGATAGAGCTCATATGCTTATCTTTGAGAAGTGTAGATATAGCTCATATGCTTGTCTAGAAAAGTGAAGATAGAGCTCATATGCTTATCTTTGAGAAGTGTAGATATAGCTCATATGCTTGTCTAGAAAAGTGAAGATAGAGCTCATATGCTTATCTTTGAGAAGTGTAGATATAGCTCATATGCTTGTCTAGAAAAGTGAAGATAGAGCTCATATGCTTATCTTTGAGAAGTGTAGATATAGCTCATATGCTTGTCTAGAAAAGTGAAGATAGAGCTCATATGCTTATCTTTGAGAAGTGTAGATATAGCTCATATGCTTGTCTAGAAAAGTGAAGATAGAGCTCATATGCTTATCTTTGAGAAGTGTAGATATAGCTCATATGCTTGTCTAGAAAAGTGAAGATAGAGCTCATATGCTTATCT